TTTTTTTTTTTTTTTTTTCTGTTTATTATTATAAGTCCAGTCTTTTACAAAGAGATGTATAATGCAGCCTTGTTTTTAAGCTGTCTATAACAAACATTTTAACTAGTTATAATGGTCAACTAGTCAACCTTCTATTGTGGATACGTTAAAATTACTTGGGCATCTTAGCGTTTTCAAAAGTCGACCAGGATCTATTAGCACTGCTAATTATAACCATTACCAGTTTGTTTATTTTTGTTCTATGCAATTTATACAATTTAACTACCTATTAACAACGTTTTTACAAAGAGATTGTTACGTATTTCTTTTTCCTTCAATATAGTTTTCTACAGTAGTTATACTTTTAAATCTTTATTGTTTTTTACGTATATTACTCGATTTTTCTTTCTGATTGCTGCTCAGTAGAGTCTCAGATTGTTCATCTTAACGGAAATTCATTTTTAGTTTTATATATCGACTTCTCTAACTTAGTTTCATATATTTTTTCCTCAGCTAGCTTATCGTTCTATGATAGTTGCTATCACACTGAGGCTCACTAAACTCGCAGTTAAAAGAGTCAGTAATTTGTTAGTATACTCTGCTTGAAGCTCTGTCTGTTTTAGATAGACTTTGTAATTATGGTTGTATCTGGAAGGAGGACAAGTTAAAGTAAAGAGGAACAGAATCCCCAATTAGGGCAAATATTGTTTTTGGAGGTTCGTTGAGTGCTTCAGTTTTTTTTCTTAGATTGATGCTAATTCTACTTTATTTTTTACTCTTCCATTCAAATGTACAGAATATTTTAGGTGTTACCTGGAAATAAGGCAGCACTAAGGTAGGACTTCACAGTTTTAACAGCCGAATAGCAGAGGTATTTTGGAGCTTTCCTATCGGGATGAATGTAAGTTATTTCAAACTACATTTCAATATTTGATTGAAGTTCTTGCTCTTGTTTTATTTTTACAAAACCTTTTTTGTTTCTATGTAAACTGTTAAAGGGTCAGCCAGTTTCTCAGTAGAAGTTTAGGTTTGAAAAAGTTCAAAAGCTTCGTCATATTTTGTGGGTATTACCAGAGTTTAATGATAATAAGTGGGTGTTTACAGCAGGCTCAATCAAGTTGGCAATACAAGACGCTTTCGGCTGGTGCATCTGCTCTTGAAAGTAGCACATCGGAAGCTCATCCAAGCGGGAGCAGGAGTTACGACAATTATTATTACAATGCACAAAGTGCTGGGTTTGACGTTGGAAGTGAAAGCCGAGGATCTCGTACAATGTAGTGTTCTATTAACCTGGAATCATTTTTTAAAAATTTTTTTTTGTGGCAGAAACTTTTTTAATGTTCATAAAGCTTTTAAGATGCGTTACGAATTTGGATCCTAGTATTGCTGATCCTTTCCTTAATGTTTATTTTGGAGAAGTCGGTGAGGTGACTAGGACTAGAATCAATCTTGAGGTGTGCTAACTGTTCCTTATATTTTTTTTTTTGAGAACAACCCTTATTTTGTAAATATCGTCAACTTTTGTTTGCTTTCCTTTCAGTAAATGCTGAAGTTATTCAAACGCAGAAAATTGAATTATAATAACGAATGTGAAGTAAAGTTAATATTTGAATATCAATTTCAACTTTGTTTGATAAGCTTAATCCTTACCAACATATTTTTGTAGGATTATTGCCTACCACACGCTTTTGTCGAATTTGTTGACTCAAGCTCTGCCACAGAAGCTGCTCAAAAATTGAATGGTGCTAAGATGCTCGACCAGGTTGTGAGTTCAAAATGTATAATTAGGACAACTTTTTGTTTGTTAATTTTCTTAGCGCTTTTGAAATAAGGAATTACTTCTTAGGTTTTAGCGCCTGAATATCTCAGATACTGAAGGTTTGCTAATTTAGGATATTTCTGTGAAGATTCTGGGTAAACCCTCGGAGAAAGATCGGACGGAAGCTTCACAACATTTTCAGGTGTTTGTTGGTGACCTCACGTATGAAGTTGACAATCAGGTGCTTCGGGATGCATTTGCTGTTTTTGGCAATATATCGTTAGTCGTTTTTGAAACTTTTTTGCTTACTGATTAGCAAACAAACTTCTTTTGATTTTTTCAGTACGTTTTGAGCAAAATATTTCTGCATTTTTTTTTTTACCTAGTATCATTTAAGCGATGCAAAAGTGATAATTGATCCACTAACTCAAAGACCGAAGGGGTATGGTTTTGTGTCGTATTCCACAAAAGAGGTTAGTTATATTGAGTAATCAAATTTATCAATTTTATTTTGCCATTCAGCTTCGGTAGTTTGAAGTCTCTGAAAAGGTTTTGCAAGTTTCGTCATAGTTTATGATAATTTGTTGGAAAGTTTTCTGTTTAACTGCTTTATAAGTCTTTTAGGTTGGTAATAAAGGGGTATTTGATTTGTCTTTAACTCTTTAAGGAAGCTGAACGAGCTATTGAGCAAATGAACGGCGCGTGGCTGGGACATCGTCAGATACGGACCAACTGGGCTAATCGTCGAATAGAACCTACTGAAATACATCATAAGCGGCGTGAACTTAATTATAGCGAAATATACAGCAAAACAGGGCCTGATAACTGCTCAGTTTACGTTGGGAATCTCGATAGCTCTGTAAATGGTACTCTTTTGTTGTTTTGGAAGTTTTGACTTTTGTGGGTTTGATTTAAAGGGTTTTTACTGACGAACTGCTATTTTCTTTTAAAGTTATGAGGGGTTCAATTTTCTGGAAAATATCTGCCGCTTTGACACACTTTACAGGAAACACTGAGCTACTTTAGGTAGGGTCGTAATTGTTCCATAACCGGGCTTCGCCACTTTTTGGAAAAATGAGTTATTTTAGATGATGAACTACGTCGGTTGTTTGACCAGTATGGGAAAATTATGGAAATTCGCCTTCACAAAGTTAAAAGTTGTGCTTTTATTAGGTTTGATAAGAAAGAGTCTGCATGCTCTGCTATAATTGAGATGAATAATGAAGAAATTAATGGTCGGATCATTCGATGTTCGTGGGGAAAGTTCTAACGAACAGCTGGCAGATGTTGCTTTTTAATTTACTGTTGATGTTGGTTTTGAATATTGTTTTTTCTTATATTTATGGATAAATACATTTAAACTTTGTTAGATGTGACTAATGCATTTTAAACTTATGATTTATAGTCGGATTAACCGTAACCAAGTAGTGAATTTGAAATTCCAAATTTCACAACGAGGAGACATCTGTTATTGAGCGACTGTTTAGTTTTCTTAGTCGTACTTACTGCTTTAAAAGTGTATTTACGTTTTTTAAACATTACGTTGTCTGATTCAACAAATATTGTTACCTGCTAGGGATAGTTTCGTGTCATGACTTTTCTTTTCTGGTATTTTCGTTATAAGTGTTAAGGAGATCTTGCTAGAAATGCTTGTTAATTCACTCTTTTAAAATTAGGTTTCTTTAGATAGTTTTTTGTATCATATAATGAAAGATTTTTGGAAGAAAAGTGTTTTTTTTTTCTGTGGCTTAGTGCAGTAAGGCGGGTTGTTTAAAGACTGTTGGGCCGTTTGGGGGTTTGTCTAAAGTGAAGTATTTGGAAGCGCATGTAGTTAGGCGAAAAGTGCATTTGTTTTTGTCGTTAGTTCAACTTTTGTTCGCTTGAGAAAAAGTGGAAGTTGTAGTACAGAATTGATTTGGTTTGTATTTGCCTGGAAGTTCAGTAGATTGAGAGACGTTTTTTTTTGGTTTTTTTTCATCTGTGTTGATCTGTTAAAAATTGTAATTGTAGTGACCGTGTTGGGAAGCAACAAACGTCAATAACTCTCAGGTGAACCTAAATTTGTGGAAGTGATGTAAATTGTACAAAAAAGGCTCACTTGATATTTGGAGAACCCCTGGGTTTCAGTGATTGAGTATGTTCGGTTTGAAGCGGTTTT